GAGCGCCTCATCCGGGAGATTCGCGAAAGGTTCGAATTGAGTCAAGACATCAGCCTGTCAGCAGCGGCGGATCTGTCGTACCTCACTGCAGTGATTCAGGAGGGTCTCCGACTGTGTCCACCCGTGCCGTGGATGCTTCCCCGCCAGGTGCCACCAGGAGGAAGTACTGTGTGTGGGACTTGGTTACCAGGCGGGGTAAGTCAAACAAACAAATCGCTGGGGGTCCCTCACCCCGTTTAGATATATGATCGACGTAAGCACTACTGACAACGAAAACACAACCATCTAGACCCCGGTTTCTCTGCAGGCTTACACCCTCAATCGCGACCCCTCTCGCTTTCATGCAGCCTCGTCCTTCGTTCCCGAGCGATGGCTTGCGGATGCGTTGAACAACCCTAACTCACCCTTTTATCACGATGACCGTCAGGCGGTGCAGCCGTTCAGCATGGGGCCACGGGCTTGCCTAGGTCAGCACCTGGCATGGGCAGAGATGAGGTTGATCCTCACCAAATTACTGGTCAGCTTTGATTTCGAGGCGGAAGAGGGGAAACACCTGCAATGGGAAGAATTGCGGACCTTCTTGTTGGTGGAGAAGCGACCCTTGGAGGTGCGAGTGCGGCTGGCCCCGGTGGATTGACATCCGTCTTGGTGGGGCTGAATCCTTTGAGCTTGATCCAGCTTGTTTCTACCTAAGTGTACTCGCCGTTACATTACTTGTAATGGTTCTTTGCAAATTTTGGTCAGAAAAGTACGAAATACCTCTCTTCTTTAGCACCTATCAACCATCTGGCCTTGATACTAGACTCATTTTTTTCATACTATTCCGTTTTCCAGTGATGTGTGGAATGTCTTCTAGAATATTGGAAAACGTTTTATAATGTCTTCTACATGTCTATCTGACAACCTCAGGGAAGGTAATACACGTGCCAAATTACCAGTAATAATGTAGCGTGCTCTCTCACGTACTGCGCTACATAGTGCTTCAGAGTCACCTGAACAAAATGTGACATGGAAAGATTACAAAACCAATAACATAAGTATGTCAGATCACACCGATCTAGCACAGCGCACAGATATCGTTTTACATCCTGAACGTCCAAAGCCTGGACCCATAAACTTCTTCCACCATTTACATAGCCGCACATGGTTATGTCCTGGACTAAGGGAAAGGCTCCCTCAAAGCTTAGGCACTTTCTTTAAGATCCAATCATATTCAGAGTTCTCAGAAAGCTTTCCCCTCCTTCGAGGCTTATCGAAACGACAGCCTTGCATCCTAAGACCATGCCTATCATGTCGAAGGCATATTTCGCAGGACGATTAGCTTGACGAAAGCGGGTGCACTGCCCACTTGAGGTATCGTCCAATAATGTCGATTCAGTTGAAGAGCCATAGTCCAAACTACCATGGCCCCAAAGCCCCTTCTTATACATCGACTTGAGACGAGCAAAATATAGGAGCTTCTCTTCGTTCCACAGCATTATCTTTTCTATTGATTATCACTTGGATATGTTCTCAATGACACTACTCGCAGATGCACCTATGCACTTGGCTGTCCTGGCCGCAATGGCAATGACATATTGGCTATCCATCGCGGTCTACCGGTTGCACTTGTCTCCTTTAGCCAAGTTTCCAGGGCCAAAGCTCGCCGCCCTGACTGGGTGGTACGAATTCTATTTCGATTATTGGAAAGAAGGCAAGTATATCTTTGAGATTGAACGTCTACATCAAGTCTACGGTATGTTCTTCGGCATTTGAGAAACCTCTTGGATCGTGGTTAGTCTAAGGTGGCACGTTTCCAGGACCGATTGTGCGAATAAACCCCGATGAGCTATCTATTCATGATCCTGTATTTTACAACGAGGTTTACGTGACGGAGAGTAAGAGGCGGACGAGCCATTATGACGTGTTTTGCAAAGGGATTGACTTCGACGGTAAGTAGTAATCTTCGCCAGATGGAGACCCAATAAGTAGGACACTGAGATGTGGACCATTTCCAGGATCGCACCTTCTTACGGTTGATCACGACTTGCACCGCAAGCGGAGAAAGCCTCTTGAGCCCTTTTTCTCCCGGATGGGCATATCTCGCTTACAAGATATGCTGGCTGCAGTTGCCTTGAAGCTGGAGGGGCGTCTCCGCGAATTTGAGGGAAGGCACAAAGTGATCCGACTCGATCATGCCTTTTCGGCCTTTTCAGGTGATATCATCGGAAGGATCTGTCTGGATCGTGACGACGCTGGGGATGAGTTTCTGGATCACCCCGATTTTGCACCAGACTGGTAATATTGATTACCATATCACGGAGTATGTGCTTCGCCGCAAAGAGCTAAACGGGTCTGCAGGTACAATCTGATCCATAATCTTGTCCGTTCACTTCCGCTATTCACCGGCTTTCCTTGGATTGTTCAGTAAGTGGATATGCTAGACTTCACACTGTTGCATGCTATGCCTCGTGATACGGTTTGGCTTTTGGCTACTGGCTGACTGGACGATTGTGTTAGGCTAGTAAGCTACGTCCCTGAAGGGATTCTGCTAAAGCTCTTTCCGCAAGGGCAAGTCTTCAACACATTCAAGACCGTAAGGAGCAACCTCCTCTCTTATGACACCCCGTCAACCCCTCATTCAATGTACATCTGCGGATACTGATGTGCTGCTGCATTAGGTTGCGCTGCGTAACATCACCCGCATCTTGAGTGACAGCGAAACAAACAAAGAACACAGGAACAACACCTCGTTATTCCATCACATTGCCAGAAGCGAACTGCCCGAGTCAGAGCGATCTCCTGAGAGGTTGGCCAAGGAAGCGCAAGTTTTACTTGGGGGCGGAACCGCTAGCACGGCCCGGACCATCGGTTTCGCCTCCTATTACATTCTTTCTAACCCACAGATTCGGTCGCGTCTCCAAGAGGAGCTGCGAGAGCTCATGGCTGAGTGGCCCGACCGGGTCCCCAGCGCAAGTGAGCTAGAGAAACTGCCGTATTTGCAGGCCCTCATCAAGGAATCCCTGCGCCTCAGTTATGGAGTCATGCACCGGTTGCCTCGCATCTCGCCCGACATTCCCATCCAGTACAAGAACTACACAATACCCGTCGGGGTCAGTTAACTCTTCCGTTCCTGCGATCATAGGCACCTAGCATTCCCCTATTGTTCTTTCTGAGATTATCATGCTGAGAGTTCCATTGCCTTATAGACACCTGTGGGAATGTCAGCTTATTTCATGCATTCCGACCCTGTGGTCTATCCCGACCCGAAGGTCTTCCGTCCTGAGCGCTGGCTCGGGTCCATTGACCCAGCCATGCATCAGCAATACGTGCCATTTTCTCGCGGATCACGTAACTGTCTCGGTCAGAAGTACGTTTCTCTCCCGCCTTGATAAGGCCCCTCGACCTTCTGGTTCCTTTACTTGGGTATACTGACCGAGCAAATCGTCTCGAACATGATAGTTTGGCCATGGCAGAGATGTCACTTATCCTAGCTGTGCTCTACCGGCCTAATGGACCCAAGCTGGAGTTGTATGATACGGACGAAAGCGATGTGATTCAAGCACACGATTTTGTAATCCCACTCCCTAAAATCACGACTAAGGGAGTCCGGGCACTGATTCGTTGAGATGTGGCTCTGTCCGCGGTGGAGACAGCCTGTGCTTACAATGCAACCGCTATTTGTTAAACGGAACTCCTACACATTCTTGTACACCTCAGATTAGTGCTAGAGAACCTCACTAAATCAATTCAAAAAGATAACAAAAGAAGTAAATGTGAAAAAAAAAAAAAAAAAAAAAAAAAAAAAAAAAAAAAAAAATCTAGACGATTCCCAGTTAGCTGGGCATGATAGAGGTCCATATCTGTTCTAGGGTTACTTTTCTGTGAGCTACGAGGCTTCTCCCCTTGAAGAACACCTCAACTGCCACCAAGAAGTGCACCATGGGGGTGACACCACTACAATCAGAGATCCAATTAGAACAGCTTTAATCTCCCTCTGATACATCAGCTAATACTATAAATCACACAATCTACCTAATACTGAAGATAAAGAGTCTAGTCTCTTTGCTTTTTGAGTGGTCCATATAGCAACTTCCTATCGAAGAGTAGACATACGGGCCAAGTAAGTGGGGGTCAGATATTACTACCTGAAGAGGGGTGATCAAGGGACAAACAAATTCAGCATTGGTATGAGAATTGCCAGCGTTATCATTCGTGGAAATTTAGTATCCTGATCTGACTCCATTAGTAGCCAACTGCTATCTAGAACAATACTAAGAGGTGCAACAGAATACATTCGATGTTGATTGACATCACGCAATATTAGTTATTGTGATTCATTTTCAGAGGTATTTAACAAGGGTATAACCCGGCTCATGCTGTTTGCTCATAGTAATGTTAGCGTCTATCACCTTAGCGCTTTAACCACCGAAAAATAGACGAGGCTCAGCTGTCACTGACAGGTACATACTCGGGGCGGGGTTGCCTTTTCCCTTGGTCTGATTCCTTACTTTACCATTCCAACCTTTTTATTTCTTCTACTACCTACCGTTTCCCTCGTAATTTAATGTCATTTCTGTCTGAACTCTTCCAAATTCGCTTCCTAAATGTGCAGTGAATTCACACACCCTCAATGAAAATGATGTCAGTATCCAGATCAATTTGCATCAGTACTGGCTCCACGATCGACTGTGCTTTTGTAAGGCAAAACGTTGGCAAGGCACGCCCCGAGGGGTGGTATTTCCATTTTCGGATGGTCCTAGTGTTGCTTAGTGCCCGTGGCATCATTTCATGCATTTTTAGGGCGGAAGGCTTAGCCGGGGCCCTGGCTTAGTATACACAAGTAGAATACACATTCTGTACGATGCATTGTAACAGTAATACTCGGTCAAGACCTGTTTGGAAAAAAAAACGCCGACACCTAGTACTGATGATAACCCTTGTATGCAGCCTTGTACATCTCAGAAAGACCTTCTGTGTCCGTCGAGAATGTTCATAGATTCTTACATTATTTCATCGCATGTGGGAGGGGCCAGCGTGCATAGCCTCATCATGGCCTAAGGACTCCGGACACAATGGCAAGGATTAAGGGATATAAATCAGATCAAGTTCTGTTGCAATATGATCCCTCAACCACATAATTCCTGTTTCTGTCTGAAAGCACATTCTTTGACCTCTCTCAAAGTGTTTCAAGAAAAGGCACATATACTTCACACTCTTCTCAACGATGGACCAGCAGTTCTCTTATGAGGCCAGTCGCGACAGTTACGATGATCGGGGTCTTGCGCATGGCATCCCACTGCGGGTGCACCGAGAAGGTCATCGAGAGACCAAGGGTGCCCTTCGTGCCCAGGCAGACTGGAACCGTCTTGTAAGCCCCATCAAGGGCTATAATGGTGGGTTGGGGCACAAGTACAGTTTCATGCAGGTCACTGTACCGGGTTGCCTTCCTGAACGCCTGGAGATTATCTCTTATGCCAATGAATTTGCTTTTCTATACGACGGTGAATATCTATCTGTCTTCCTCTCATTCTCTTTTGTTTTTTCCTTCATGCAGGATATGTGATGCTTAGGAAACAGAAACTGACAAGAAGTGGCTGTGTGTGTATCGTAAATAGATGAAATGGAAAGGCTCATTGACCATGGCCGGGTAAGTCTTTTTGCTCTTTGTCCATTGCACATGTCAAAAACAATATGATATGAGAACTTACTCAGGCAACTTGATATCCAGGACCCCGCTCAATCGCATGCGATGGTAGACGCGTTCGGCGTCCCTACCAGCGGATCGGAAGAACAGCCATTGTCATCACCATCATCCTCTACAACATCATCACGAGCGAATCGGCTGCAGGCACGAGTTTTTAAGGAGATGATCACGATCGACAAGCCGAGGGCTATCACCTCGATGAAAGCCTGGTCGACCTTTCTGCAGTTGGCCTCTCGCAGTCGCGCGTGTCCGGCGCGGACGCTCCGAGAATATTTGCCGATGAGAATCATCGATGCAGGAGAGTTGTAAGATTCAACCCCCCCATCCTCTATCCTAATGACATTCGTCTCCTTTCGACGGTGCTTTCTATCACATGGAATCAGTATCAACTTTCCCATTAACCTTGTATGTCTATCATTTGCACACAGGATTTGGTTTGGAACTTTGACCTTCGGCATGGCTCTGACAATTCCGGAGGACGAATTGGAAATTTGCATGGAACTAGCCCGTCCAGGCTACGCGGCTATCAGCCTCACTAATGATTTGTTCTCGTGGCCGAAAGAGCGGCAGGATGCGGTACAGGCCAAGGTCGACTATGTTTTCAATGCGGTCTGGATTATCATGGAGGAGGAAGGTCTATCTGAAACGGCCGCCATGCAGGTGTGCGAGGGCGAGATACGTCGCTATATTGCCGAATATGAACATATAACATGCAATGCGCACCGGCAGCAGAAACTTTCGCGAGATACGCTGGCATATTTGGATGCTGTACGGTACAGTCATGTAGGGAATCTTGTGTGGAGTATCTACTGCCCGAGATATCGAATGTAGCTAGTTGGACTGTGTGTCATAATTCTTAGGTCGTTGATGATTTTTGTTTGGCCGTTGGATTTTACTGAAGTAGACTTTTTGAAAAGGAATGCTATACAATGATAGTGGATTTGCATCTGTAATCTAGATACAACTTGTTGTATTCTATCATTGAGGTAGCACCTACAATAAACATCTAGAAATGCCTCTCAAGGACAATAAAATAGGAGGAAAGAAGTGATGATATTTGATGCACCATGGCTCGGCATCATATGCCTTTAGGCAACCTCTCTCGTTTGATACATTGTTGTTTAAAACATACTGGTAATTATCAAATCGTTATTACCTGTAATAAACTCAGCCAGCATCATCATCACTGGTGCTTGGCGACCGGGGGTGTCCTTGTATTGACCAAACATATAACTAACGGCGGTGGGTTTCAAGTCAACAGAATGTGAATTCCATTCCATTGCGAAATCATTTTCTATCCACAATATCATTGTCTTACCTCAAGCACTCCCGGCCATTCTTCCGAATCAACTCACCCATAATGGGAGCCCAATTTTCACAGTTCTTTCCCCCTCGCCCGACATTCACTTTATCTGACGTCCCTTCGCAGCATGGGAAAGTCATCATAGTGACGGGAGGCGCATCGGGGATCGGGCGGGAGCTGGTGTGTATGCTCTATGAGAAAGGGGCGACCGTCTACCTGGCGGGTCGCTCTGAGTCCCAAACCCAGGCCACTATTCACTCCATCCAAGCAAACCATGCCGCTACCACCCCCAACTCACCCGCGGGCGAGCTACATTACCTTCCGCTACATCTGGAAGATCTCACTACGATCAAGTCAACGGTTGCTGCGTTTGCCGCGCGGGAGAGTCGGCTGGACCTTCTTGTGAACAATGCGGGTGTCTCGCAGCCGCCGCCCGGCAGTGTATCAAATCAAGGTATCGAGCTTCAACTCGCCACGAACTGCCTGGGCCCGTTTCTTCTCACCCAGCTCCTGCTTCCCTTTCTCAAGGCGGCGGCGATCAGCGGATCCAGTGAAGAAGGCACTACAGCACCTCGTGTGGTCTGGGCCAGCAGCCAAGTCGCTGAACTCTCCGCGCCTCCGGAGGGAATTGTACTGGCCGAGCTCCGCAATCCGCCACTCAACCAGCCCGTGCGGAACTATGTGACCTCCAAGCTTGGCAACTGGTTCCTGAGCGTCGAATTCGCTCGCCGGTATGGCGGGAACGATGGAGCAGTGGGAGAAGGACGTCGACGACGACTAGTCAGCGTGGCGCAGAACCCCGGCGCGGCCAACACAAATCTCTTTCGATATGCGCGTTGGACGAGGATTTTATCTAGGCCATTGCTACACAGTCCTCGACTTGCCGCTCATACTGTGCTCTACGCTGCATGCGCAGAGGAGCTGAACCGACCAGAACACAATGGCGCGTATATCATCCCATGGGGGAGAATTCATCCCGGGGTGGCCGCTGCGCTGGCATGCCATTTGGCACCGGAAGACGAGGGCGGCACGGGCCGCGCCCGGGAATTCTGGGAGTGGTGCGTGGAGCGTACACGGGACTATTTATGAACCTCTTATGTTAGAAGCAACATTGGTTCGGTGAGTAGGGTAGATACTAGTTAATTCCTCCTCGTTGTACAACTGTTGGAGCGCAAGCCTCTTGTGTAACTTAGCAGGCAAATTTGTCTAGATACTCAGTATGTGAGGAAGCACAGTTCTCATGTTGAAAATATATATATATATATTTTTCTGCGATATTAATGAAAGATAGAGGTAAGAAACAGTACTACACAAGCCTTTACTACTATGTCATCTTTCGCGGTATAACCTTCATGCCTGGCGAGTAACACCTGCTTCTCTTATTCACAAAGACAACATCGAGCAGAAAACATAAGAGAGAGTTAAGTATATCCGTATAATCTACAAAGCGGGTGTTGAACCACATTGCTGCGGATGTGTACCATTCGAGTGGAGACGCAGAACATGGATGGGTTGGACGGTGAAAATCTCCCAAGGTTGTTAACATGTTGCATCTCGGTATGAAAGTGGTAAGGAGCTTTATTCTGCGCTGGTTGTGGTTATGGTCGTATAGAAAGTGCGTGGCGGATACACCAATCTTCTGGGAAACCATTAACTAACAGAAATTAGCAAATAGCTTTTACTAGACTAGTCAACACCCTTATTAATTAGGAACATGAAACCATTGTACCGTCCCGGACGAGAACTCAGGTCTAGAATTTCTTCTTCTTCTTCTTCTTCTTCTTCTTCTTCTTCTTCTTCTTCAGCAGTGAGTGATGGCAATGCAATGATTTCGCCGGGAATAAGTATCCATATCTTTGGTCCAAATAACAACTCTTGTCTCCAGCACGGATCCGATGTCCGTCACTCGTGTCTACTTCTACTTGGGAGTAATATCATAGACTTGGTAAATGAATAATATATCTAATGTATACTACTGCTACTTAGTGTACTTAATCCTGTGCCAGGTCGAGTTTTCGACGCTTCCCAAGGGCATTACGTAGGAATAATGCGTTCCCGCTTGAGACGCTGCGCGTCGGAGTATCGGTTCCCCATCTCTCGTCATCTGCGGAAAGGCTCAGTGGGCTCTTTTTGTCCTCGCTCAGTCAGGTTGTCCGGTCGATTTCAGGCCGTAGCCACTGTTGAATTTCAAGGTTGTCTTTCTCGACCCTGGACACGACTTGCACTTCAAAGAGTCGTTCCTGCAGGTACTTAACGTCCATAAGGTCTTTGCCGTCTGATGGGTAACTTCCACTGGATTCTCCTCGTCATCTGTGGCCGTGTTGATTTGCCAGAAGCTGGCCTCAGCAAGAAGTACAACCTGGCTTACTACCTTAGCCTTTCATATGCCCTTATGAGACTGCCTTGGGTCAATGACACATTTCTTGAGGGTTTCAAGTCAGGAATTGTTATGGAAGGTGGCTTTGATGCTTCTGCGAGTGAGGTATGGATCGGCGCAATGGTGACTCCTAGGTCAAACTCCGCTCCTGACTCGGGAGTGTGGACACTGGTACGTCGAGTAATAAGCATATAAAGCCCATAGATGCAGCCAACCTTCGCTTGAAGCTTTACTATCTGGGGGTGATCCCCTCGAGTAGTCCTTGTTGGAACTTAGCTGCTGATTAGAATGCATCAAGGCTGCAGCTTAGGACAAGCCTGCTGGTCGGGGGCGGGCAGTGATTGAGAGCCTATATTCCGTGTCCCAAACCCCCAACTGTACAGTAAAGCCGCGGAGATCGTTATTAATGCGGTGCTAGAACGAAAGCTGCTGCATCGTCATGTTGCGCTTGCAGTATTGTTGCGCCAAGTCTGATCGGCCCTATCACCTATCTCCTACTCTTTAGCCATCGAGTTAGGCAGTCATGACATTGCTGCATAAGATACCCAGTCTGAGAATCCTTCAGAGAACTCTAGAATCAGTCAACGCCCCAGGCTTTATGTAGATATTATGCAGGCGCTTTTTGTTGATGACAAGCCGCAAGAAGTGTATATGTAGACCACGGTTTTGACAATGTTGTAATGCACTGAACGTCACTTGCCCCTAGGCTTTCTTCTTGATGCTTAAGCATTTTGCGAGTAGGCTTGAAACTGTGTCTTTGTCGCCGCTATTCCAGAGTATCCGCGCTTGCTTTTGCTACCCTGGTACAGGTGGTCACCCAAGTCGCAAGCTGCATAAGGATAATATGGAATAGAGATTGAGTGTCATAGTGTTGTAGCAAGCGTCTGGACTAGTCTTTTCTTCATCAGTCCAGGGAAACGAAGTGCCCTATACGACTTATAAACTGTTGGCAGACCATTTTGAGCCCCAGAAAGAATCTGATTTATTGTTTGGCGTGTCCTAGAACCACCGATCGATTTATTGTGCCTTATGCTCGGACAGGATACAATCAAAGTCTCTTCTCGTAGAGCGAAACTGTTTCATTCACGAGAAGGTCGTCTCTGTATTCGTATCGACATATTGTCTAGCTCTTTCGACCAGGTTCAAGGATGTTCACGGCCCGAACGCTGGACAGTGTTTCCGGTCGCACTGATGGGGGCATAGTTGTTTAATCTATTGCACTATATTTGGTTTTGGTAGGTGATCAGGATACGGATTTCCCCGCATATGACTTGACTGTGGACAGTCTTCGAGACGTCAAGCTATCTTTAAAGGATACTATTAAGCGGTGCTAGTCTTATAGTTCGGAAGGTTCGTTTTGAGTTCGATTTGGACAAGCAAAGGATCATCGACGAGCTAGGTCTTCTCCACGTCTCAGGATCTTCAGCCCTTATGTCTGACGATAGATTGGAGATTTTCGACATGCCCCTTTCCAGTCGCCAGAAAGGTGCTTGTTGGCAGACACGGCAAGTATGTAGTCTGTCATATGTAGATTCAATCTATGCAGCTGGAGATGGATGTGATCAACCAGGCTAGTCAAGATATCTCCTGCCGTAGCTTAGATGTGTTCATATGAGATGAGTGATGATAGAGAGAATATAGCAGTTCACAGAAAGTAATTCGTGAGTGAATAGCGTGTTGTGCTTTGTCAAGAGAGAATGAAGGAAGAGGAAGAAGAAGCCCACGCTGGCGCCGGGGCGATGGCTTTTATAGGTAAGCCCTTAGCAGGGCCAGTGGAGCTATTCGCCGACTAAGCAAGAGTGATAGCCTCAAGATGGTTAGTGAACGGGACCTACAGAATACCTGGTGAACGGGCACTACAAAGCGATGTGCATATTTCACGTTCAGCAACTATGCATCGAAATTCCATGGTTAACAGACCTAGTCTATTCCTATAAAACAACCGAGGTGAATGAGAATGAGATAGCATCAATATAATACAGATAATTACAAAAAAACATCACGCTGGAGCCCGTCACGCCTGGTCATATCAATGCACTTATTGCCGGCTTGCCTGCGCGGCCCTCTGGCGCTGCAGCTCCATGGCCCTCAGATGAGCCTCGCGACGGGCATGGTTCCGCTCCTCGCGCTTCCACGCCTCCTCCTCAGCACGCCGTCTCTCGTAGTCCTCCGCCAGCTTGCGGTCCTTCTCGCTGAGTCGGGGGCCCGCGGAAACAGTTCCATCCGCGTTCTTGGTGGGACCACTGCCCCGGTACTCCTC